CTTCTGAAACCAGCAGATGGTGGCCTTTGTTCAGTGGTGGCCGAGGGCTGATTTTCTGTCTTAGAAAAATCTGAAGGAGTTGCAGGCTGCATTCCCCCAGAGAATCAGAAAAAAAAATTGTCCTGGAACTAGTGGTCTTTTGATGTTCCCATGATGTACTTACTCCTGATTTCCCAGCAGCCTCCAGCCAGTGCTCTCTGAGTTTCGGATCTGCATGGATTCTTGGACCAGCCTGTCTGCTGGTCTCTGGGTCCCTGTGGTGGCCCAGTGCCCTGTTCTGACTCCTACCCAGGCTTTCACCTGGCCTAGGATGTGTGACCCTGGAGAAGGGATTACATAGCGTGTCTATGTCTGGGTGATTCTGAGTAACTTAGACCTAGAGCTGCCCATCAGATAGAGATAGAAAACAACAAAATAATTCCTGCCACATCCCAGCCTGGGCTGGACCCACCCGACAGGCACCAATCCGAAGTAGGATCCGGTTGGCCTTTCCCAGTCTCACCTGTTTATTCCTGTGGCATATAAACCAGACCCTCCAAGAAAGGCCTTGCTCTAATTAGGTCGTTAACCCCTCTACTTCTAATTGTGAGCCTAACAGGACACAGCACCGTTCTGAGCTACAAGTTCCTCTTTAAAAAAAAAAATCAGGCTAGTGAATTCTTACCCCCGTAAGACACAATTGTTGGAAAAATGAAACAAGGCACTATGTATGTCAAGGGGGCTGAGAGGAGGTAGTCCGATGTACAGGGTACCCGATGTACCCTTGGGTCTATTGTGCCCATCAGGCAGGGGCGCCGGGAGCAGACACAAAAAGGACACAGGACCCTTGTGGCACAGTGAGAAGTCAGAGCTGACCAGGCCCTTCAGCTGGGGTTTGGGAAGCAGAGAGCCGGGAGGCAGGGCTGCAGGAACTCGGCTGAGTGCAGCTGGCACCTGGCTGGACTTGAATTTCTTTCTTTGTTTTGTTACTGCTGATAGTGCTGTGTTGGCCGGCCACTGCGGGGAAACATGGGTGTAACCGGGTGGGGCAGGTGAGGCCAGAGGCCAGGTGCAGCCTGGCAGAGAGGTGGAGGGAGGCAGAGGGTGTGGTGAGCAGGGCCCTGGCTTTCCCTAAGTATGGGAGCTCTTTCGTGGAGGCAAGACCCCATGCCAGGCTCTGAGGCTAGGCTCAGGATCCGCCTCTGTGTTGAGTTTCTTCCTGAGGCAGGCAGCCAGGTCTGTCTGGGGAGGAAGTCATCTCCAGCCTGGAGGGATGGCAGTCGTGGGGTGGCTGAGAAGTTCTTTCTTGGCCCCTGCTCTCTCTCTGGCTCGCCGTCACGGCAACCATCTCGTCCTACCCATTCCCCACCGGTAGCTTTTACTTTGTGGGGTTTCTATAGAGGTTAATGCTTTTATGACTAAATTCTCAGACACCTTCAGACTCTGGGCCCAGGGGTGGTGGACATGGATGGGACAGGGGTTCATGAACATGGTGGGTTAGAGTTCATGAATATGGTGGGGTGGAGTCCACCAACATGGGTGGGGTGGAGTTTGCACTCATAAAGGCAGGTTTGTGAACATGGATAGAATAGTAATTTGTGAATAGGGACAGGATAGAGTTTGTGGTCATGGATGAGATAAAAATCCATGGGTGTAGACGTGAAGGAGTTCACGGCCATGGATTTGAAGGAGGTCAAGCACATGGGTGTAAAATAAGGATTCAGTCATTCCGCAATTGGATGCAGCAACCTGACATCAGAACTTGTCCACATGGGGCCCTTGCCCATCCTTTCTAATGAGTCTCTACACTTCTTATTCCTTCCAGTTCAGCCTCTGCGCCTTCTGCTGTTTGGAATTCTCTCTGCACTCCTCTCCCCTGATGGATACAGCCTTTCTCTTTCTGAGCCCACCTCTGACTGACTTCTGGTACCACTCTCATAGTGCAGGTGATGGAACCCAGGGCCTTTGCGTGCTTGGCAAGTGCTCTACCACAGAGCTATCTCCAGGACATCGTGACACTTCCTTCTCTAGGAGATGGCCGGCTAGTGAAGCTGCGCTAGTCACTTTGGTATTCCCAGGGTTTGGTGTATGGGAGGACACCATCTATGTTTGTCAGAGTGAAGAAATGGAAGGCGACAATTGGCCTTCCTCAATGTACCAGGTGGTACCGGAAAGGAATTTGGAGCCTTGGGTCTAAGGTTCGTACATAGTCTTCCTGACTTGCTCTTAGATTAGATCCGTGGTTCTCAACCTTCCTAATGCTGCGACCCTTTAGTACAGTTCCTCATGTTGTGGTGACCCCCAACCATACAATTATTTTTGTTGATACTTCATAACTGTAATTCTGCTACTGCTGTGAATCATAATGTGAATATCTGTGCTTTCTGATGGTCTTAGGTGAGCACTGTGCAAAGGTCATTCGACTCCCAAAGAAACCATGACCCATAGGTTAAGAACTTCTGGATTAGAGACACTAATTTACATTAATTTACAGACTATGTGCAGGAAGGCTTGCCCTAGAAGCAGCTTATGTTAACACAATAATAAGGCCTGCAAGATGACTCAGCGGATAAAAGTACTTGCCATACAAGCCCGATGACCATTGTTGGAGCCTCAGAAACCCATGTGAAAAAGCCAAATGGGGCGGCATGCGTTTGCAATCCCAGCATCCCTACAGTGAGATGGTAGGCAGAGACAGGAGGATTCCCTGGAAGCCCATGGGCCAGCTAGCCTGGATTACAAACCATGGCAGAAACAGCAAGACAGATGGTCTTCATAAGGTAGAAGGAGAGAATGGATTCCCAAAAGTTATCCTATGACCTCCATATGAGCACCACAACACACGTGTGCCTGCCTGCACACACAATGATGAAAAGAAATACAGATAAATCAATACTGAACAATAGAAACTAGAGTACATGAGGGTAGTATGAATGACAATATTCTGGTTCTATGTGTGTATATATGTGGTCCTAGGGGTCGAAGCCAGGGCTTTGTACATGCATGTGTGGCTGGTGCTCTGCTGTTGGACTATATTCCAAAATAACTTCTTATTTTGAGACAAGGTCTCTCTCACTTGGAATTCTCCCCCAACCTTTCAAATAGCTGGGATTACAGTCTTGTGCCACTGGGCCTGACCAATAATACTATTTATACACAGACTGGCATTAGAATCTGGGACTTCTGCAGCTACAGTATGTGACATACAGACAACTAAGTTTTGTTTAGACAGCTTCCCCCACTCAGCCAGCAGTTCAGAAAATATCTTGGGTGGATCAGAGAAACTGATGGCACACAGGAACAATAATTCAATTCAAAAAGCATCTTTGTGTGTGATACATAGTTTATTCTGAATGAAGAGATTCTCCTTTATAAGGAGATGTTCTCTCTTATGTACTAAAGCCTTATTAACATCTCACTATAGGTTCGGTAAAGCGCTCAGTATTGGAGTGAATCCATCAGTTTTTGTTGTGTGTAACAAACAATACCACAACTCCAGTGGCCTTCCATGACAAATAGATACTGTTTGTTCACATGCCTTTCCGTGGTGTGGGCTGTGTGCTGCAACTCAAAGCTATCCCTATATCATTTCTTATTCTAAGACCCAGGCTTAAGAGACACACCCATTAGCAAGCAGTGTTCTCATGTTGGAGAGAAGGCCAAGGAAGCTGGCTGATATTTGCAACACCTCTTCAAGGATTCACTTGAAATGGGCGTATTGTCACTTCTACCCACATACTGTGGACATCTTAATTTCTGGGATCAGATACTCTGACAAGCCACTTAAGGAAAAAAGGAGCTTGTTCTGCTCACAGGTCAAGGGTCCAGTTCACTGTGGTGTGAAAGTCAAGGCAGCTTGAGCTTGACGCCTCTGGTCACATCACATACACAGTCAGGAAGCGGAGAGTGATGAATGATCATTTCCAGCTCACTAGTTCCTTTTCAGACAGTCCAGGGTCCCAGCCCAGGGAATGGTGCCGCCCAGAGGAGATGTGTTTTCCCACCTCAACTAACCTAATCAAGAGAATCCCCAAGGGATCCTCTAGAGGCCCTTCTCTCTGCTGGCTGGAGTCCTCACCAAGTTAACCACTGAGATTAGCAGTCACAGGGCACCGAAGCATTCTATGTAGTCACATCCCAAGTCAGTGGGGCAGGAAAAGGGGGTGAGAAGGGGCAATAGGTATTTGCTAGGTGATCATACAGTCTACCCTGGGGACACCTGGAACATTTTATTCTTTCTTCCTTGAAGAAACTGCCCTCTACCTTGTTCTTTATCTGGCACATTAATGATATTCTATACATGTTGTGTTGAATGAATAATTCATCACACGTGGCTCAGTTTGACTAGGTCCACGACCTTCTCCTGTCTGTATCTGCTCTCTATAAAGTCCCTCCTTTTAGAAACACAGGCTAGAAGGGGACTGCATGGGTCAGATACAATCCTGGTCACAAGTGGGGTGGAGCCTGTCAGGAGAGTCATCTCTCTAGCCAGAGAGGAGGAGCTGTGGGTGAGCAGGGTGAAGAGGTGGCCCTTGTGGCTCCCCACTCACTGCCACACCCAGTGCAGGACCAGCAGGAAAAGGAGAATAATCAAGAGGCTTCGCCTTGTTGGGTCTTCTGCCACGCGATGGAGGATGGGTTTGCCTAGTGAGGACGCTCCTTGTGTGAGAAGCTAACCTTCCGGGGTGGCCAGCTGACAGTAATCGGCGCTGATGGCCGCGCTGGTTACCCACGGCTACCAGATGGCAGGAGCAGGAAGCAAGGAAAGAACACAGAGAGAGTGTGGGGTGGGGGGCCGTGTCCGGCTTTTTTTTTTTTTTTTTTTTTTTTGGTTTTCCGAGACAGGGTTTCTCTGTGTAGCTTTGCGCCTTTCCTGGAACTCACTTGGTAGCCCAGGCTGGCCTCGAACTCACACTCGAGATCCGCCTGCCTCTGCCTCCCGAGTGCTGGGATTAAAGGCATGCGCCACCACCGCCCGGCCCGTTTTAAGGCGCAGATTGCATGACCACGAAGTCTCCAGTGCCTGCTGATGACTTAAGACGTAAGACACAAGAGCTGCGCATGTACAGGGTCCTCACACCAGCACCTCTCCTTCAAGAGACGTTAGAATGAGGGACACGGTGGAGTGAAGTTGCACCCCGGATGAGTGGGCCAGTGTTTGGAGTCTGGGCTCCATCCTGTGACCTAGGGCAAAGCGTAGCTTCTCTCTCTCTGTTTTGTCAACGGCAAACTCGGCAGCGTGGACACGTGGACTTCGGCTGCTACAGCTCAGCTCTGGAAGGTGCCCCCGGGAATGCCTGCGTGAAAGGCTTGATCCTACTGGACTGGGGTATAACCTTTAAGAAGTGGGGACTAGCCGGGTGGCGGTGGTGGCGCACGTCTATAATTCCAGCACTCGGGAGGCAGAGCCAGGCGGATCTCTGTGAGTTCAAGGCCAGCCCGGTCTACAGAGCGAGATCCAGGACAGGCACCAAAACTACACAGAGAAACCCTGAAGCGGGGCCAAGTGAGAGGTATTAATTAGGTCCTGGGGGCTGCCCTTGGGGGGGGGGGGGGGACACAGCTTTTTTTCTTCCTTTTTGTTCCCAGCCATGAGGTAGGTAAGGGCTTTCTTCCCCACTGCTCCTGATACTGTTGGCTTCCTTACCACGGGCCCCAAAGCGGTGGGTCCACTGGCCATGGACCGAAACCTCCAACACTGTAAAGCAGTATGAGTTTTCCGCGGGTACTGTGTTGCAGAAATGGAAAGCGGACCCAGGCGCATACCAAGTACTCAGTACAGCACCTGCCCGGCGTAGAGATAGCTCCGCGGCTGGAAGTTCTATCATTGTTATTTTGACCACCATCACTATGTTATATCTAACTTACTTTCTTTTTAAAAAGCTCGTGTGTGTGTGTGTGTGTGTGTGTGTGCGCGCGCGCGCGCGCGCTCATGCATGTCTGTGTACACATGGTATGCACACACGTGGGGGTGCTTGCCCATGAGTACAGGCGAGGCCACAGGAATATGTAGGGTGTCCTTTTAGCGTTCCCTCCCGTTTGTTTATTTATTTATTCCTCTCCTCCTCCCATTCCCTCCCCTCCCCCCCATCCCCTCCTCCTCCTCCATTTCTCTTCAGAAGTGGGCGGGCCTCCCACGGGTATCAGCCGGCCATGGCATATCAAGTTGCAGTGAGACTAGGCACCACCTCTCCTATCAAGGCTGGATGAGGCAACCCGGTAGGAGGAAAGGGTCCCGAAAGCAGGTGACAGAGTCAGAGACAGCCCCTGCTCCTATGGTAGGAGTCCCACCAGAAGACCAAGTTATGTGTGCGCAGAGGGCCTCGGTTGGTACCATGCAGGCTCCTGGGTTGTTGGCTCAGTCTCTGCGAGGCCCTGTGAGCCCAGGTTCGTTGATTCTGTGGGTTTTAAGGTGGTGTCCTTGAGCCCTCTGGCTCCTACAATCCTTCCTCCTCCTCTTCTGCAGGGTTCCCCCAGCTCTGCCTGATGTTTGGCTGTGGGTCTCTGCATCTGTTTCCATCAGCTGCTGGATGAGCCTTTTTTTTTTTTCTTTTTAAGACAGAGTCTCTCACTGAAACTCGCCATTCTGGCTAGGCTAGCAGCTGGCAACAGAGCTCCTGGAATCTACCTGTCTCTGCCTCCCAAGACTGGGGTCATAGGCTCCCACTGCCAGGGATTTGAACTCAGGCCCACTTCCTTTTACAGTCCGTGCTCTTCTTACCCACTGAGCCCTCTTCCCAGTCCTAAATGTCTATTTTCGAAATAAGAAGTGCCCTTAGGCCTCATGAGGAAGACAGAGAGGCGAGTTCGTCAAGGGAGGGAAGGAGAGATGCTGTAAAGGAAGCACAGAGGACAGAGGGGAGGGGCAGCTTTCCACGGCTTCTGAAGAGGCCATAATGAGGGATCAAGCGATAATAAGGATGACTGAAAGGGAGCCTTGAGTTTAGGGAACCGCCAAGAGGACAGAGAATGTCCGGAGCCACTCTGGGAGTTGGGCTTTAAGGAACCAGAGCTAAGCACGGGGATTTCCTGTTGGAAGACAGAAAGCCAAAGGCTTGTTCTCAACTCAGCTTCATCACTGAGTCCACTGCTCACTCGGTGGTGGCGGCATCTAGAAATGGGTGGGAGGGAAACCATGTCAGAATGCAGAAAGGGGACAAAGTCTGCTGTGAGTGTCTTGGGACACGCACATCTTGTCTAGCAGGTAGGGCCGATCAGGGGAGAGCGGACAGGCACAGAGAGATGACAGGCAGAGGGCCGAGATGACATGAGGTATCAACACTCTCAGCCCTGCCACAGCTGGTGGACCCCTTAATACCTGAAGCAGATGAAAAGGAAGCTGGTTATCCCCACTCACTAAACTTCCCTTTTGGGGGGCAGCGTTACTTTTGTATATTCTTGTACAGAAGTTCTTTTAGGACATTGCGATACGTTGAAGATAAGCCCCCGGGAGGAACTGGAACCATACCCCCCCCCCCCCCCCCGCCCTGTCTTGCAGGACCCCCCCCCCCACCGTCATCCTGCAGAACATTCCAGCCCCTGGGTCAGCACTTTTCTCTGCTTCCCACAACCCTGATTGAGTCTGCTTTGCCCACAGATGTGTGCTTGCTGTCTAGCTCCGTGTCTGGCACATGGGAGGAGCTCAGAAATATTTGTTAAGTGAATACATGGAAAAGGCTGGAATGCCGAAAGCAGCTCTTGCCAGAGAGTTTCAAAGCCCTTTTATATGAACAAATGTAAGAAGGCCACAATCGCTGAACATTTGTGGATCTGACGGTGGGGGGAGGAGGATGGGGGGGAGGAGGATGGGGGGGGAGGCTGCCTTTCCCCCAGAGGGCTTTGGCAGAGCTGATGAATGTCTGGGAGCAGAGGTGGCAGGTGTGGTGGCCAGCCCAGCCCTGCAGTGGCATTAGCCCGGGGCTGGTCATACTCTGGTGTATTCATCAGAACCTTAGTGAAGAGCAGACGGCATGTTCGTGCTGGCTCACTTGAGGAGAGTTTAAAGGCCGTTTTATAAGGATGGCCAGGGTGTAGTGAAGCCACCAGAGGGTGGGTGGGAGTTACCATCCCCAGGACTGAAAAGGGTTGAGGGGATTTGAATGGGGGGCCACTATGTAAAGAGGCAATGGCCATCCTGCAACAACCTTTACAGAGGACGCTGAAAGATCTCTCCCTGCCCTCCTTCCGATCTCAAGGCTCCATGCTGTGCCTGAACCCTGTGGAATCCTGTTACAGCAAGTCATCCAAGCCACCTCTAGGGGAAAAGAAAATTCAAACAGGTGGTGTGGTCAGGGATGCAGGTCCTGCAGGGGACTCTGATGGCAGAGTCCAGCTTGTTAAGTCAGTGTTGGTCACGTGAGCGGAAATTCGAAAGCACAGAGGCTCAGGGATGAGACCGACGCAGGGTGGGGTGCTGGGTAGGGCTGGGAGCTAGCTCACTTTGGTGTTACGCATTTCATCTTTATTAATGATCTCTATGATACGATCATCTTATGGAGATTGGCCAGGATGATCAGATGACAAGGAGTTACAACCCCTGGGAGAGGGAAACCGATGAAAGACTTTGTCAGTGGAAAATGCCCCTGGACTTAAAAGACAGGATCTGACAGATGAGAGCTGGCGATGTGGAGCAGTGTGATTCAAAGCGCACACACATCTCTGTGGAGGCAGAAAACAGGAAGGGCAAGACCTGAGCATCCCTGGCCAAGACAGGGGGACCGGGCACGGGAAGCGCCAAGCTGCTGGGGATTTTGACAGCAGAAGAAAATCTGTGCTGGTGATTCAGTCCACAGCCTGCACCTGTTTGTCTGGCCACCCTGAGGTCACTAACTGAGGTCATTCACTGGTGAGAACCAAGGACACAGAGAATTAATTTGAGTAGTGTAGGCCATCCTAATGAAGACTGGAAACACAGGTTAGATGGTTATACTTCCCAGAATAAAACTAAAATAGCTGTTTCTCTTTCTGTTTGTTTGTGGAGACAGAGTCTTGTGTAGCCCAGGCTGGCTTGGAACTCCCAGTGATCCTCCTGTCTCAAGCTCCCAAATGCTAGGATGACTGAAGAGAGCCATGCCACCTGGTTGTTCCACATTTTTAGCATTGTCTTTGACCTAGATGACTTCAAAGACTTCAGACTGTAGGAAGAATCTCTGAGCTGAAAAGATACCCCCTTAGCCAGCCGGTGGTGGCACACAGCTTTTACCCCAGCAATGGGGAGGCAGAGGAAGGCGGATCTCTATGAGTTGGAGGCCAGCCTAATCTGCATAGTGAGTTCTAGAACAGCCAAGGTTACAGAGAAACACTGTCTTGAAAATAAAAAGAAAGAAGGAAAGAAAGGAAGGAAGGAAGGAAGGAAGGAAGGAAGGAAGGAAGGAAGGAAGGAAGGAAGAGAAAAAGAAAAAGAAAAGATACTCCTTGTAAAAATCTGTTGTAATGGCTCCAAGGTAGAAATGGCCCACAAGCTCAGTGCAAGAAAGTTGTTAAAAGACAAAACGAACCAAAAACAAAAAACAGTGCTCAATATTGAAAACTAGACGTTATAAAGAATTTTAATAGCACTGTGTGAAATTGTGGTTTAATGAGGGAAAAATGGGCTGTGCAACTCTTCCATCTCACTTCAGTTATACACAGGCACACATGCACACACACACACACACACACACACACACACACACACACACCAAAGTAGACAGGAAAGATCACCATACAATTAAAGACAATCAAACATGTTAGTGTTAGAAATGACGCCGTTTTGTTTCTTTTTTTCTGCCTTTCCTAACTCTCTTGCTTCCTCTTTTTCTTTCCTTTCCTCTTTCTTTCTTTCTTTCTTTCTTTCTTTCTTTCTTTCTTTCTTTCTTTCTTTCTTTCTTTCTTTCTTTCTTTCCTTCTTTCTTCCTTTCCTTCTTTCCTTCCTGCTTTCCTGCTTTCTTGCTTTCTTTTTTAAAAACATGGTCTCATGTAGTCAGACACAGTGCTGAGGTCTCTTCCTCTCTCGGTTACTCAGCCGCACTTTGCGTCCTTTCTCTGTCTTTCCCACGCCCTGCACAGTGTCTCCAGTCACCTGCTGCAGGAGTGGTGTGCCTGCCCTTTCCACCGGGGACTAGAAATCAATGGCCCCCAATCTTTCTCTCTTAGTTCTCTTCAGGGCCCTGGATTAAGCTCTGTGCTCCCAGGAGCATGGCTGACGGGGGCCCTTAGAGCCTCGGAACATCTGAATCTTGGTTATGCAGAAGAGTCTAGAAGACTGGTACATTTGCCAAGTCTGAGGAGACAGATGTTCCCTAGGGCCCTTCACTGAAAACCCTAAGTAATGCAAGTGCTTCCTAAGGTGAGACATAATGACTTTTTATCTTTCTCACAAGTCTTTAATTAGAGGCTCTGTAACAGACACATCACGTTAAATGGGACAGGCATTCCATTAGAGGGGAGGGAGGAAGCTTTCTGGTCAGAACACAGTGTTCAACCAGTCTGGTGTTCGTAATGATGGCTTTGCCCCTGAAGACCGTCCCCACCACCCCTTAGCTCCGGATGAATTATAACAAAGCTGGGAAGTGCTGTCCTCCGGCACTAGCTGTCACTCAGGTGTCTGTCATTCAGTAGAAGCTTGCTTAGGTGTCTATCATGCCCCCTGCAATTGTGAAGAGCAATTTTGTACTCTGTGTCTCACGCCTTGCCCTTAGCCCTGCCGAGGGGAGGAAGGGCAGATGTCATTTTCTCGGGCGAGGAATCAGAGCCTGGTGGTGGGTTTCTGGGGATTCTCCACTTGGCTGTCCACCCAGATGGCATGCCTGTCTGGGTCTCTCTCAGTGCAGAGGCTGGCGAAGAGATGCCACAGTCTCTGCTGTCAGAGACTTTCTCACAATGACTTGCTCTTTGAGGTCTCTGTAGATTTTATCTTCAGAGGTTCTCACTCAACATGAAGGCAGGAAAAGCCTGAGGCATTGGGGGTAGAGGTGGGGTGGGGAAAGAGAGAGAGAGAGAAAGAGAAAGAGAAAGAGAGAGAGAGAGAGCTGATTCCTCCCACTTGTTAATTTTGGCTCCTTTCTAATCACAGAACTCTAGTAAGGCATTGTATCCCCTTCTTCAGAGCTGTTTAAAGTAGACTTTAAACAAACACATAGTGAACAAAGCAAAGGACAGAGAGACCGGTGGTCCTGGGCAGTAGTGTGTGTGTGTGTGTGTGTGTGTGTGTGTGTGTGTGTGTGTGTGTGTGCATGTTTGGGCTGACATGGATATCAGATGGCAGGAAGATTCCTTCCCTGCCCCTAGCACGTGGCTCTTTTGTCCTCTATACTCAGGTTTTATGCCCTTTAAGCAGCAGACAACACCTCCTGGGGTCACCGAGGCTCCTTTTCATCTTATTTGCTTCCATTTCTTTCTGCCTGGTTAGACTATGACAGACGTTTTACAGAAGAGAGAAGAGGACTGAAAGGAGATGATGTTCTGGCTGCTACACAGCAGTTCAGGGATCGAGTTGGCCCCTGGGGTCCAGGGAACACTTCCATTGCAGAACTGTAGCAAACGGCATGGAGGAAGCATGGATCACAGCCTTCCTGTGGACAATACTCAGGCAACTCATTCGGACCCTCCTCCACGTGTAAAGAGACAAGGTTTGAATCCTAGCCCGGCCCACTAGTCTCTTTTACTTGTTTTGTGGATCTGTTTATTTTGGCAGGTGCGTAAGTTCAAGAGATCATCGCAATTTGGACAGAGAATATTTCCGCCCCTTTAAGTGTCTCATGCTTCTTTGTTGTCCTCGCCCCCCCCTTTACCCCCCCACCCCCCTCCACCCCCGCCTCATGCTTCCCTTGCAGCTATGGATTTTCTGGCCCTATCTCATTTCAGCCCTTTCAGAAGTCTGCTTAAATGGAACACACACTCTGTAGCCTTTTGAGTCTGGCTTTAGTCATTTATCATAATGCACACAGTATTTATCTGTCTGTTACATGTATTGGGTTTCTTTTTACTGATGAATATATTTGTTATTGTACGGATTTATCACAATTTGTTTACATATCAGTTAATAGGCATTTGGGGTTTTTTTGTTTTGTTTTTGTTTTTGTTAGTAAAAGGATGTGTCTGTGACCTTTGCATACATACACTTTCTTTTCTCTGGAGGGAAACCACAGTCTGAAAAATCCATGGAAGGTGCATTTTCATTGTTAACAATTCTATGTTTGAAAACACTCCAAACTGACCCTCCTTAAAGGCTTGGGCATGGTGGGACACTCCTACAATCTCAGGAGTCGGGAGGCTGAGAGAGATTCCAGTTATAAGTTTCACCGTAGCCTGGGCTGCACAGTAAGACACTGTCTCAAACAAGCACCTCATGGTGGAATGGGTCCAAATCTTCTGTATTATTGTAAGAGTTGTCCATTGTCAAGCCTCTGAAGGTCTATTTGCCTCTGATATTTATATCATGGGGCATTGATCAGTGATTATTTCTTGCATTCCTCTCTAATGTTGTACTGTACTATGCTGTGGGGTTTCCATGCCCTCAGGAAACGGAAGATTTAGTTAGGGGGGAAAACCATTTTCCATGTGAACCCCTATGGCCCTTTGGGCAAGGACCAACTGGCTGAGAACAGTGGGAGTTCCAGGCAGGCCTAGCCCATGTCTTTTCTCTACAAAATATTTCAAGTCCCGTCATTGCAGGGTCTTTACAGTCCAGGATGGCATCCTGCACCAGCTGTTTCCTGGCCAGAGGTTTCTTGGTTCCGGACTTTCAGAAGAAATGTGAGTCCACAGCTGTGGTGTCGTTTCTGTGGGGTCTCAGGGCTTCCCAGAGAGCAGGGAGCAAGCAAGTTCCACGAGTGACTGTCAGAATACTCATTTGCTGTCACTAACCCTTCCCTTCTCGCATCCTCTAAGTGTCTACACACAGCGCAGCCCAGGAAAGGCAGAGGATGATTGCCTGGGGGGATGCACTTGCTCCAGGAACCACTGCTGTCCTTCACTCTGGTGTTTTTGATTGGTTTCCCCAGGGTTCCGAGGTGGATCTGTCTGTGTGGGGACAAAAAGAGAATTGGCAAGTTTATTTCAGTTCATGACTTCACTGGTTCTACCAATCCCATGTCTGAGCCAAGGCTGGGTTAGAGAGAGGGATATTACAATTCCCAAACAAGTGTGATATGAAAAATAACACTTGACCTCAAATTTTCCTCCCTAAATGACATCATAAGGAAACCTTCTTTCTTTTAAATTTGATATTTGTTCTCTCAGCCAGTTCATCGTTGATTTTAAGTATTTAAGGATTCTTGTTCAGACATGTTATACTTTTTTAAATTGGCCCTTAATGCGTATGAAATATGAAAAATAGAGACCCCAGAATCCTTGCAGGTCATGAAACATGTCTGAAGTGGCTCTGGTCTTATTTGACCGGTGAAATAGGAGGCACTCACTGAAACCCTCTTCCTGGAGCGTGTGATACACTGGCCACTGTTTCAGTGACGGCCTCCAGTTGATGGTTGGGTTGGAAGAGGTGGGAGATGCCCCTGGAGACAGTCACGCTGATCTTACTTCTGTTCATTTCCCCAGAGCAATCTCCACTGTTTACACACTGAGACTCATGAGGGACCTCGGATGCACCTCTCACTCTTGAAGAGTGAATAGGAAGTACGCGGCTTTCATGACCCCCTGAACCACCAATTTTGTGTCTGCTGGGGATCTTATCTCCTGCTTTCCTCTTCTTCCTCCCGTGTGCTTCTGACTCAAGCCCTGAAAACCAACCGCTGTGCGGAAACCTCAGAGGAACTGGCCTTTAGAGACCACAGCTCAGCCTTGTTCTCTCAAGGACTTTCTCCATAGAGGGGGGAGGACAGGGTCAGGGAGAGGAAGGAGGAGAGAGAAAAGGAAGGGAGGGAAGAAGAAAGGAGAAAGGTGTGGGGGAGGGAAGGGGAAGAAAGAAGAGGGACAAAAATAAAAAATGTTTTTATCTAATTATAAGGGTAAGAAAGGTCATACAGATTATTAAAAAATGGATTTGTCTTCACTGAAATTCAAAAGTCCTCTAAGAACACCTTAAATATGAAACGAAGAGTGTGGATGGGAATGAACTATTTGCAAATAGGTAGCCAACTGAATACTTACACGCAAATCTAAAACCATTAACTCCAGAAATAGACATAGGAGAGATTTTTATGACGTTGGGTAATGGAAGATTTCACAGATACCGCACAAAAGCACAAGTGATTTAAAAAAAAATATTAAATTGAGCATCACCAAAAATAAGAATTTCTGTTCTTTGGAAGGTGTGTTGAGAGAAGAGCCACAGAGCCGCAGGA